ATTGTGTTCTGGCTTAATTGAATGTGGAATTTGTAAATCTTCCAAATTCCGGTAAAATATTACCCTTAGCAAAGTAGATAAAGAGATGTTTGCTTGATTCCAGCATCACATTAATCTATTTATTAAGGATGATGGGAACTTGACAAGCTGGGAAGGAAGGCAGTCCTGGGTTAATGAGTTATAAACCCATTTATATTTATTCAATGCTCAGGCCAGCTGGCAAATAATATTTGAATGCCTGTAGCTTCCTATTCTCTAATTTGAAGAATCGCTAGTCCCTTTTTTAGAACTTCAAATCTTTTAAATTTAACTTAAAAAAAATATATACCTGACAGTCCAATATGATGCCTGTTTTAAAAATTGGGCTAACTAATGAATAGAATATAATATTTTTAACTTGTAATGGACCTGCAATGACCATCGAGTCCAACTACCTGATCCAGTTCAGGGCTGACCAAAAGTTAAAGCTAATTGTCCTAATGCCTCTTGAACACTGACAGGCCTGGGGCCTTGACCAGCTCTCAGTAAGTGGGAAGCCTATTCCAGTGTCTGACCACCCTCTCAGTAAAGAAATGTTTCCCAAAGTCCTGTCTAAACCTCCCCTGGTGCAGCTTTGAGCCATTCCCACACATCCTGTCACTGCATCCCAGGGAGAAGAGCTCAGCAATATTTTCAGTTAATTCCTGAAAAGTCCAAAAGCAGGGTGGTGGTAGTGAAGAACTGTAATTATTTCTTATGAATTTATGTCTGCCATATATAGGCTAAACTACAGCTTCAAGAGGCAGCTTGTACTGTACATAACTGCTTTCTCTTTTTTGCTCTGATTTAAATTCTGCCTGCTCTATAACTTTTAAACTGCTAACTTGTGCATTCCGAGTGTTTGGCACTGGATACTAGTGTGTAGTGTTTATTTAACCTATTAGAAGTTCATGGTGCTCTAGGCAAAACATCTTTGTTTCCTAGCAGGTATTCACAAAACAGAGCTATCTAAAATATATCAGAGAATTATTAATCCCATCTGACAGAAGTAAAAAGATTACTGTCATTTTTACATGAAAAGTGTGAAAGTATCAAGTATTTTCTGTAAATTCTTGTGAAAGTCTTCAGTCTTTTCAAATTAAAACAAACAAGATCTTGAAAGGAGGAAAAAATAGTCGCCTTTCATTTGTGCCTCACAATGAGCATGGCCTGGATTTTGCTCTAAATTCCTCCTTACATAACATCAGTGGGGATAGATGTGGTACAGCTAACAGGACACGGCTGCGGTGCACGGAGAGCACTGCAGGGAACTCCACAGAGTGCTCCTTGTTGAACCCATGCACAAAGAGGAGCCTTAAACAGAACCTCCCTAAAGCACAGCGGTGAGTGGGGACAGTGTTGCAGTTGAGGGAGGAGTGGTTCAGTTCCCCTTTGGACATACAGCTACCACTGGACTCCTGATGTTCCCTTTTACAGGGTGAGTTTGGCTGTTGACATCACATACAATAAACAAAACAAGCTGTATTGCATAACCTGCTGAGCTCATTTAATTTGATAAACTACATGGATTTTACTTGTAGGAATCCATAATATGTACTCATACCTTGCCCAAAAAAGTGAAGCCTTTGTGATAGGAAATGATATTTTGAAGCAACATCTGTTAGATCTCATGGAATAATATTATGAAAATCCCTTCATTGGGATTATAAATTGGCAAGACAACAATTCAGAAATTAATTCTAATTGCATGTATGGGATTTGCATGTATGGGATCACTGTAAATCAGCAATTAGTTTTATCTCTCCAAAAGAAATAAGAATAAACGTATGGAATTGCAAAACACTCTACTCAATGTCAATGAAAACTGCAGGTTTAATTCCTGCTTTATTGCACTAAAATAATATTTTGCCTGTAAATGTCATGAGTAAAACAGGAGCGAGGTCTGAACAGTTACTTTCTTGCTGATGTAATTCAGCTTTATCTGTTCTGTGTGAAGAAGCTTAAAAACAAACAGAGCTTTGGAATTTCTTACTTCTTCTGTGCCCAAAGCTGGAGCACAGCCCTATTACAAAGGCTTTCATGCAAAGTAAATATATTAGTTCTTATAGAGTGCACTCACCATCCACTTGCTTCGCTTGCCCTGCTCCAGGGACACTTTTGTAAACTGACTGTCACTGTCTGTCCGTCCAGAGACACGGCAGGACCAGACCTACAGAGATGACAGTGATGCTGCAACCTTCAAGCAAACCCTCCCAGATCTCACCCCCGATGAGCCTTCGGAAGCACTCGGCTTCCCTCCCTTAGGAAAGGAGGAAGGGAGATGTGATCACGATGTGCCCAAAAGCCAAACAGAACCACCTGCAGTGGAAAATAAGGAACCCCAGACCCAATCCACTGAAGAGCCAGCAACACCAACAGCTGAGGAGGGGACAGCAGCTGATGCAGGTAGTGATGAATCTCCAGGGAAGTCCCCATCGAAAAAGAAAAAGAAGTTTCGCACTCCTTCCTTCCTGAAGAAGAGCAAAAAGAAGAGTGACTCCTAAAGGCCAACCCACTGCAGAAACACTGTCATATTTTAAAATCCATTAACCACTAGAATGTACCAGATTGTACTGAGTGTTTTGTCTTACTATGTAAATGAATGCCACAATTAATCCAACCAGCCCCTCAAGTTATGGCTTGATTGTTTAGGGTTATAACCAGAAACCCATGTCCAAAAAGGTGCTAATCCTGTGTGTTCAGCAGCTGCCACAGATCTGATCCCTAGTTAGTAATCAAGTGTAAATGACTTCCATGTGGAAGGCATTGATTCACTATTTTTAAATTAAAGCCTGCACTGCTTTGCAAAAGAACATAAAAAATTCACAATTAAAAATAAAACACCCATTGCTTACCACAAGAAGTGTTTTTTCCAATATTCTGTTCCAAGTCACAAGTAAATTTCTTAAATTTTGACTTTTAGAGAGGATGCTTTTGCAGTGGTGTTCTCAAGGGGGGGGTGAATTCTCAAACTGACATGTAAACTTCTGCAAGCTTGTGAGTACAGGTTGTGGTTTGGCCAAGCTTTGAGGCTCTCCATTGCTTCCTCCCTTTCTTCTCATTATTGTTACAAAATGAAGGTGTTTTTCACTTTTGTTTTATTTTATAACTGGTTGGTGAAATCAGTCTTTGATGTCTAGGACTGAGATGTCTGTGATGTGTTCTGCTCATGTTGTGTGTTCAAAGAGCCCAATCTTGGCCTGTTCTTTTTTTTTTTTTTCTTTCTAGTGTATTACAGTTTAAGGGAAATCTGTCTTTGCTCTTGCCTGGCTGAATCATGTGGTGATTTGGCTGTTAGAAAAGGTTAAAAAGTAACTGCAGTAAAAGTATTTCAGAAGTTTTTCAGCTGGTGGTGTGGAGCATGGGCAGGTGTATTTTGGGCCTTAGCACAGGTTTTTTCATCCTCTTAAAAATCCCTTTGTTGCACATGCAACCTTGCTGTGCATGAACCCCATGTGCAGCCTTTTGTGTTTGTTTCTTCCCATTGATAAAAATGTAAATGCATTACAGTGAGTATTTCACCTTGTTTTATAGTAATTATATTTTCACTTACAAAAGCTGGCATTTCTTTGTTTTTCTTGTTGTTGCCAGCAGTCAAGTACAGAAATCCCGTGTAACTTTAAAGGGTGTATTTTCACCGTTTGCTATAAATGTTTGTTTAATGTGCAGCATGGCAAATCACTCTCGCCACTGAGTTCACTATTTCCCAGTTATTGCCATGCTTCTGTCTATCACTAATTATAAAAGTAGTTTAAGATCAGGTAGGTCAAGCTTGCGGAATTCTCCGGAAAGCGGGTGCCGTTCCCTGGCCCAGGGCTGGCGGGGCAGTGACCAGTTCTGGTTTCTAGAATTTGCATTTCAGGTTTAACAGCAGCAAACCCAACACCCCATGGGGGTAAGGGCAACACACTGACTCACAGGAAGTGTCTGTAACACAACAGAACATGGATGTAACCTTTTAGGACAATATTAAATGTTGCAATTGGTAAAATAGCAGAGAACTAATGCCTTACATTCATGCAGCAGAAAGCACGGAGGGCCGGGCGGGTGGAGCGGCTGGAGGCAGCTCTGGGTGGGCAGAGCAAGGCCTGTGTCGGGCTGGGAGGTGCCGATGCCTCGGGCTGGTTTTTGGGAACAGCTGGAAGTGGAATTGAGCTGTCAGTGTTCAAGTGAGAACAGAGGTTTTGAGGTGGCCACTGGGGCCATGGGAAAGGTGGCGGGGCCGGTGTGGGACAGAGCAGGCGGGCACTGGGCCGGAGCCCCTGGACAGCGACACTCAGGCAGGACTGCATGGCACGAATGGCTTTCAGCTTCTGCTCTAACACTGTATGTCCTTGTACACTAGGAAGCAAACAACACTTATTTTGCTAATTGTGTTTTATTGCAGGGTCGTAACTAAATGACTAATTGCTGTATGTTTCAGTTCTTTACTGAAGTCCCTCCATTTATCTTGACCACATATGCAATGACTCTTAATTTCTAATTTTGTAGTTTGTTCTTTTAGTTCTTTGTATTACAATATGAAATGTAGTCATGTATGGTATGGTTACACACTTTGGGGCAGAATAAAGTCCTGTATTTTTCTTTCTTTCTTGTATCATTAAGTTCTACTCACAAATAAAACTCTTGAAAAAAAAACATGCTCTGCTTTCAAAACTTGCACATTTTTATTCCGTAGCCTCAGTTGCTTAGTTTTGTTTTAATGATTAATGTAGTGTGTTGATTAACGATGGCTTTCATTCTCAGAAAATACTCAAATTGGCTACTGCAGGGATCCCTTCCCAGATTCCCAGCAGTGGGCAGAACATGGAGGTTCCTTCCCCCACCCATTAGCTGGGGTCAGCATGGTGCTGTCATCCATGGCTGGCTCCCTCAAGGAGGTCTTTGGCACCTTGGGTAAAATTCTGGCCCCTTTTTGCCTCAGCCAGACAGGGATGTTCAGTTCAGAGGGGTGTAACAACTGTAATGAATTGACCACAGGATTGTTCAATGTAACCGTTTATTGTAATGCAAAAAGAACAGGGCTTTGTCATCAAAAACATCACACAGTATTAGAAATATAAAACATCTCTCCAAATTTAATTGTATATTAAAAATAGTCCACCTGTACCAAAGTACCAGTGGGGTACCAGGCAGCCTGTACTGTGCTTCTGCTTTTCTTTGACCACCATGCAGGTGTGGATGCAGCATTTGCAGAACTCTTGTACCACTTGTACAAAAACACCATCAGAATGGTCCTGAGAGTTTGTTCTGTGTCAGCCCAGCCCCTGCACAGGCCCAGGGTGAGGAGCAGAGCCCTGAGTGCAACAGCACAGTGAGTGGGGAGGGCTCCAGGCCTGCTGCTGTTGTGCTGTCTCTGCTTCTCTGCTGCTCTTAATGCCTTATTCAACTCTTTGTGGGGATTGTGTGTCTGTTTTCATTTGTTTGGTGTTTTTCTATTTGCAAACCTAACCCAGCTGGCTGAGAGACCACCTTAAAACAACTGCTGTGTGTTGTTGCTGCAAATGTTCATCACGTATCTCCTTCCAGAAGATCAAAATCTCCCTTTTCCTATTTGCTCGGCAGTCAGGTGCCAAGAGTCAGGTCTTGCAGAGGTCCTTGGACGCTGGTGAGGGTTTTGTAGTTTCTTCCTACTTCTCCTTTGTCTGCTGTTTTATAGACCTGAGTAGAGCCAAGGGGACAAGGAAAAAAGCTCCACAGATAGTGAAGCAAATCTCTGCCCCGGCCAGCCAGTAAACTGCAAAAGAAAGGGGATTCACCTTGTTACTGTGCTTGTCCTTGCAGCCGTGTGAATGTCCCCAGAGCTGTTGTGCTCACACAGTACCTGCACAGCTGAGCAGAACTGCTGACCCCTTGGCTCAGCCAGAGAGTGCCAGGAGCTTGGCACGTGGCTGCACTCAGGTAACAGGTTCTGGCTTGTTTGGTGTTAACATTAGCCCAAGTTCAAGCTCTGAGGCTGCTTCCCCTTCCTCTGTCCCTTTAGTCCGAAATGCTCAGGGGCTCTGACCCCATGCAGGGGGTACCTGTGCCCCTCTGCCCCACCTGGGCTGTCTGGTGCCAAAGAGAGGAAGGAGCACGAGGCCACACTCACCTGCAGCTGCCAGGATAGGTCCCAGGGCTCTGGCCAGGGCGCCCAGGCTCCTCAGGATGCCCATGACTCGTCCCTTCTGGCTGGCAGTGCCTGTGCAAGCAGAGTGTGACATTGTGGAGTTTGGGCATGGCTGGAGCTCTGGGAGCCTTGTTCTTTGGGGGTATTTCCCACTTGCATCTTCCCCTCCCATCATTTCTCACCCAGTCCCCAGTCTGCACTTGCCCTCCATCAAGGCCCTCACAACTGCTTCACTGCATAAACACCGGGGCCTGGCACCAGTGCTTCACTGGGACAATTTGTAGTGCACGTTCCACACCTCCCAAAAACCCCCAAACCTATCCAAAACAAAGGCCTCACATTGTACACAAGATGTTCTGAGAAGTCCCACGTGTACAATAAACACAGAACTGTGGATGCAAGTTAAATAAGAGCAACATAAAAATGATATTAATGAGCAAAACCTTGCTTTTCCACCTCAGCAAGCACTGCAGTCCTGGCCTCCAGCTGCCCCAAAGCCATGTTATCCACAGCTGGCGCCACAGCTACATCTACTTTACAAGGTTACATAGCAACCAGTGCCAGAAGGTTTCTCAGAAGGTCTTTTCTAAGGAATTGGCAAGAAATTATTTCACTGCTGGCAGGGATGGCCGGTATCTCTTTCAGAGAGCCCAGACTGTTCTCAGTGCTGTTTGTGGCCTTTGCCCACTTCTCCCTCATCACCACTAGCAATGAGGTTGCTGCAGTTTCCCCATCACATTGGCCTGAGCTGTGTTACACAGCACAAAATTCAATGGTCACGCAGATCATTGCTGTTAGTGCTGAAATTACCAGTTTTATCACACAGGAGTGAGCCAGGGGGTGCTTCCTGTGCTCCCCGGTAGCAGGGCCTGAGATGGACCCACAACTGTTCCTGTTGATGCTTCACTCAACTCAGGGTCAGTTCCCTACAATCTGAGCCAGGTCAGTACAAAAGTCAGTGATGTGGCCAAGGGCAGCCGGTCAGAGCAGGAAGGACACTCACCATAGCCTGACACCACTGCTGACAAACACGGGATGACAATGGCTGCAGCTGGAAAAATCCACAGAAGAGACTGTCAGTGAACAGCAGAGCTCAGAACAGACAAGAGCAACAGTGACAAACGTGTGGCCCAAAAGCGTTCCTGCTGCAGAGAAATACGCTGAGCTCTGGGCACTCTACCACCACTGAGTCACCAGGTTTAATCCAGTTCAGTGAAGGGAACACCCACTCCGAGCCAACCTGCAGGAGGAGCCCAGAGCTGTGAGTGCTCCGAGCAGATGTTTCACATCAGCATCCCTCATGCCGTGAGCCCATGGGACAGGGATGGACAGGGCAGAACAGCCAGCTGGCAGCTTTCCAAACCACTGTGCTCTTCTCAGGTGGAGCAGGGAATCGCTGCTGTTCCAAACAATGAGGTGGCCATAGCCAGAGTGACGCTGTCCCTGTGCACACAGAGCACTGCACTCAGGGACGAGAGGCAGCTACAGGCTCTCTTGGGAAAGAAGACAGTCACGTCCAAGAAGAAAAGGTTACAAAATTTTTTGGACACAAAGACAAGAGTTTTTCAGCAATCACTGCCCTCTTACTGAAATAGGGGCCTTTTCTGCCAAGAAGTGCCTCAAATGTATAAAGCAGAAGGGAAGGGGAAGGGGAAAGGACAGAAGGGACAACAGGAGAGCAAGAATGATCAAGGTTGCTTAAACTTCAGGTGTCCCAGCTGCTGGGCAGAGGGAGGGAGAGAAGAGGAAGATAACCCAGGGGGCATTTCTAGCTGGCTTAACTGGGAAGAGGTGGAGTTGTCTGTACAGGAAGGGGCCAGGGAAGAGTCAAATATGGTTAAACATAATGAACATCCCCTCTCACTCCTCACCTGTCAAACACACAGCTGGCCCCAGACAAGTAATAGACTCAATAGGTACATTTTGTGGTTTATAGTCTACTACTAAATCAAGCTGTACCATGCAAGTGGACTTCAGTGGAGAAGTCCACTTTTGTAGCAAGTTATATATGGAGCTGCTTAACAATAGTTAGCAGCTTGGTAATACTTGAAATCTCTTTTTAGACATCCATTAGATGGATCCAACCTCATTCATGACTGCTTCCATGAAGAACAGCTTAGGCTGGCAGAATAGAATTTATACAAACACTGAAAGCATCTGACCCTCACTCTCCTCAGTCCAAACACCCTCAGAGTGTGCAGGTTTCCAGCCTAAAAAACGATGCAACACCACTTAGGTACAAAGATTTGATGTCTTGCTTTTTTTCCTGAGCTGAGCTATTCAGTGAATATTTTGCTTCTAGGTCTGTTAAGAGGGGGTGAAAAAACCCATCCTCAAGAGCTCCACGATGAGACAGGACAACAGGGGCACTGGGGATGCTTCCAAATACCACCATAACAGCTTCCTGTGATACAAACAGCATCGGAAAAAAACCCCAGACACCGTTTGGTTCATATTTCATAAACCCAAGTGTCAACTTTCTGTTACTTCTAGTTTGAAATTAGAAGTGCCTCTTTTTTAAGTGTGAATAAATATATGAAGAGAAATCATTTGTGCTTAGCTTGCAGTGCCTTTTGAACAGCTCACCGAAGGAGTACAGCAACAGTCCAGCACTCAGCATGGTCACATTTGCAGCCCATCCAATTAACAGGAACGCTGGAATCAGCAACATAATAGCCTACAAAAGTAGTGAGTCACACGGTTACATCTGAGCCGAGCCTGTTAAAGCCTAACTCTAGGTGTCCTGCCAGTTCCCTTCGGGGGATGAGACAGCAAACAAGTTACAAGCAGAAAACCCTTTCTTCCCAAGCAGACATTTCAAAGTCACCTGGATGGCCACACAGCAGCACAATGAACTTTTCTGTTCCCTCTATCACATGATTGCACACCACATGCAAGTTCTTTCTCTACACATCTATCATGTCAGGATTTTATCTCTCATTCTGTGTTGACCTGGACAGAAATCTGGCTTTAACGCTTCATCTCCTGAGCTGGCACAAGAAAAGAAAAAGCTTGTGTGCGGCAGGACTACAGCTTCTCTGCTTTTTCTCAGCATTATTGGCTGATTTTATCTTTTGCTTTCAGATTTCAGTATCCAAGAGGAAAAAAGGGGGGAGAGGGTATTCAAAGTCCCCAAAATAAAGAGCATTCTTCATCTCCTCCAAGAGCTGGACTTCCATTCCCCTGTGATGTCCCCCTCACTTACAGAGCTCCTGCAGAAAAGACAGATCAGATCTGCTTCGTGTGTGATAAAGGAGGGTATTCACTGCCACTGAGTGCCTCATTTTGAAGATTCAGTAATAATGAGCTACTGTAACCACTGTGCTAAGAGAGGCCACGTTTGCCATATGGTGCAGATACACAAACTGCCAGAATAGCTTCAGCAAAAGGGGTAAGTCCCACAAAACCCACAGGCATCCATGGGAAAGAGTGCCCAGGGCTGGGGCTCTCTGCAGAGTGGACACAGGTGGTTCATGAGGAGCCATCAGCCCAGCAAACGAGTGTTTAAGGTAACAGCACTTCCCAGAGCAGGGCTGAGGAAGGAGTGTAAAAATGAGAGGTGCAAAGGGCAGTGCAGTGCCAGCAAACACAGCAGGCTGGCAGAGCACATGGGTGAAGCTGATGTGGAGGATGAAGCAGCACAGCTGATGCTCATCCACAGGGAAACGTGACACCAGCAGCCTGACATCAATGTTTGCCTGCCAGGAACCAGGGTGGAGATTGTTTCACCAGCAGAAATCACTTTAAGAGAAGCTGAGTCAATTCACTGGAATGTAGTGGTTTGGAAATATTCTACCCTGCCACCACTGAAATCACACTGGCCTCAAAATAATGTAAAATACATTAATCAAGGCTCTAACAGTCCAAGCAAACCTATTGCCAAGGAGCCAAGGTAGTGCTTTGTTTAGTTCCATACACAAATGTAAAGGACACAACACATTGACTGTCCCCACAGCTGTATAAACTGCAGGGAGCTGTTCCCTGTCATCCCAGCACAGCAGCTGCAGTATCTCTGTAAGGAAAGAGCCAAGTAAAACAAAGGAATGTACACTTCTGTCAGTGAAACCTCAGTCTGAACACTGATTTGTGCTTTTGTTACGTGTAATACTGATGATCAGAAACCAAAGATTGGAAAAAGAATCTATTTCTCCCTGCCCAGCAGTGAAATATACTCTAGGGAAAGCCTGTCACACACAAAGTTAGCCAGATTGAAAATAATTTCCCAGAAAGAGAGTCAGAGATCAGCCCTGAAGCAGCTTTAGTAGGTTCAGCACTGCAAGAGAAGTCACTGAAACAAAACATGCTCTTCACAATATTTTACCTAATCTGCACAGATGGACAATCTGTTCTCATTCCTTACTGCAATTAAGTATGAAGAACACAAAGTTTCAATAGTATTGTTGCTCATATCATAAGAAAGGGCTCTAATGTTCCAAAGTTTAGTTAGGCAGGTAAGTGCCCAACAATCAGTTTTGAGAAGTCATTTAGCTGGATAAACAAGACAGAAATGTCTTTTGATTGGACAAATAAAGTTATAACCTCCAACTACCCTTCACTGCACTTCAGACTGAAAATTAACATATCTGATTTGTAGGGGGGAAAGAAAAAGAAATATTGATTTATTTTTTTTTACCCTTTTTACAGCTCTGATTTCATTTCCTGGCTTGATTCGGCGAGCATAGCCTCCCTGGATCACAGCCATTGTTATTCCGATAAAGAAAAACATCTTGCCCTGCTGCATGCTGGAAGGGAGGCAAAAACACAGATTACAGAGTCACGCACGGAGCGTTCCACCTCGGGCTCCACCGCTCCCCTGCCAACCCTCCCCTAAGCAAGGGAGACAAAAATCCTTTGGGGCTCACACAGCACTGCAGAGCTCTCACAATTCTGGCAGCAGCTGCCATGGCAAGCAGAGAGCAACAAGGGAAAACTCCAAGGATTTGTTGTATAGATGGGACAATGCTAGCAAGTGCTGCAGCCACCTCTGGGTTGCTGTGGGGCAGGTCAGGGTTTCTGGAGTAGCCCACAAAGACTGAAGACATCGATGACCCTGTGCTGTGAACATCTGTGCCACGTGCATGGGAGATGTTGGTTTCCAAGGTGCAGCTCATGGAGGGTTTGATGGAGGTCAGCGAGGCACAGCGTGATGGTGATCTAGTGTCACACTGGGAAGTCTGAGACATCACTCCCTCTGCCCTTCAATTTTCTTCAATTTTCCCTTTCCCCTCTCTTATTGACTGAATTGTGTGGATGTTCTCAACTGAAGGGCCTCACCTCCACAACAAGCTTGCTGCCTCAGAGACTGCACTGCTGGCACACGGCTCTGCAGCTCACTGAGGGCTGCCCTGAATGCACAGGACCCAACAAAGCTCAGTGTGCTACAAAACCTCTCCTTGACACACATGGATTAGTTAAACCACAAACTATAATGAAAGACAGGGAAAGATGAGACAACCCCCTGAGAGTTACTCAAAGGGAAGGACATGCACAGGAATCAAGTTGCAACTTCACGTTCCTGGCTGGAATTCTTCCTATGAGCTGGAAGGAAAAGTATTTCAAGCTGAGCTGTTGGTGGATTCTGTTCTCTTTCTTCTCTGGTGGTTGACTACAGGAAATCAGGCTCTTAACATGACTGCACACCATATGCCATGCAGAATTTGCTGATGAGCAAATATCATCACACAGATATCCCCCCATCCTTCACCTCTTTGAGCTTCAAGATTTGTCCTGATACCCAAAAACTCTTCTGATCAAGAAAACGTTTTGCTATAATCAGTGCAACTAGCACAACTATACCTATTTCAGGAGCTTTAATTTAATCTTGGGTATTTATTCCCCAGTTCTTAGAAGTTGTAGACTGAGTACTTCCTTTCCTAATAAACATTGTGCCTATACTTCATAAATTCTTCTCATAAAGCCCAAATACCACAGAATGCAGGGGGGATTTTACTGAGTGGTTTTACTAATGTCAGAAACCCTCTCTTGAAAATACATGAACAGACCTTAAATCAAGATTTTGGAAAATATCCCAGTCAAAATATACAACATTTATTGCAATACCTGCTGAAGTGGAATCTCTGGTGAGTGAGAAAACTCAGTGTGTACTCCAAGCCAGAAAACAGGAAGAGGTACAGGAAGTAGGCCAGGCCCAAAATTTTGAGATTCTGAAGATCTGAAAAAACAAAAAACCCAAACAAACTCCAAAGGGGTGGGAGGTGGGGAGAGAAACATGGCAGTGTTTTCCAGGCAAAGCCTGACAATAAAACCACAACACTTCTATTGTAGCAGCATTTATCAACTATACAGTTGATTATCAGCTATACAGTTGAGAATATACAGTTCCCACCTCACATGTTTATTTTAAATAGCCATGCAAGACACGCCACAAAATGAGTCCTACAGAGATGTAGAGAATCCTACATCTCCAAGTCGTGAATTGAGAAATAAAACTCCAGTCTGAAGTTCCTGGTTTTCAGTTTGAATAAGCAAACTCACATCTCCCTTGCTCATGTCTTGATCTAATTTTAAATCTCTTCACTTACTGCAGCCAGTGGCTGGGGAAAACACAACTAACATGTCAGAAATCTTCAAAACACTCGTCTTCAAAACCTTCTCTTGGGAATAAAAGGACCAAGGTCCAGTGGAACTTCTGATTGGCTGTTCATAAACTATTAAGGTGGGTTTTAAATGAATAAACAAAGTCCTGCTTCTGGAATGGTATGAGTACAGTTTTCACTTTGAGACCAATGCCACACACAAAAAGACACGGAGTGTTACTGTAAAAAGCCATCTGACACTTACTCTGCTCTGAAGGGGATTCCTTTCCTCGGGTGACTGCAGAGAACTGAAATAAAGCCAAAGGACTGAGCAAGTCAACTGCTGCCTGAAATCCAGATGTCACAGAAGGGACCTGATCAAAGACAGAAAGAGGTTTATTTAAAACCCTGATGTAATAACCACTGCTAGGAACTGACAGTAACCACCAAATGTGCCTCTACACCTACACAAATCATCTGAGATAAAACAAGGCACCTGGCATTGGGATTTGAGTGGGCCCCAGTAACAACCCAGACTTTCTGAACTCAGAACTGGTGCCAGCAACTGTAATTGAAAGGTAGAGCATTGATAGCACCTTTCACTGAAGACAAAAGTTCTTTTGGTTCTTACAAAGCAGAAGTGGCTCGTTCTCCACAGCTTTGAGGGTGGCTTTATTTGATTCACCTTTTGCATCATCACAATGGGAAACTAATGGCACATCTGCCTGCAAGCTCACAGAAGCTGAGGATCTGCTCTTGTGCTACAAATCTGAGACCAGTATGTGCAGCACATCAAACACTGGTCTGTTTTGGGACTGGTCGCTATTTTAGCCAGCCAGTGACACCTCCTGGGGAAGAGAAGGAAAATATATTTTTACAGAGATTCTTTGGAGATATTTTAGAGAAATTTCCAAGGAAATTCTGCCCCAGCCACAATGGTTGGTTTTTTAAAAGAGGAAGACATATTTTGTAACATTTCTGGGCCTTGTACTGTATACATCTCAACCTAATTATGCACCTAGTGGCACTCTCCCTGCTTCTTACCCACAGGCACTTATCCTTCCATCTATAGTTAATTTACCTTTTTTTTTTTAGTTCTAAAATATAGAAAATTAAACAAAACACTAAAAGAAATAATGTCTAAATGATGAGAAATCAAATTCCCTACATTATTAGGGAAACAATTTTTTGGGGGAGTAAAATTTAGCTTGTTACTTTACACAACAGTCACAGGGAGAGATAAGACACTCAAGAATCCTGAATAATCACATGCAGTGTTTCACACATTCAAAGCACCGCACAGGCTCTATTTGATGAGCTTTCTTCTCTTCCCAGATAGGGAGGGAGGGAGCTATTGTGTGTGCCTTTGAGAGTAGAGATTAAAGGTCAGATTATAAACAGAATTTAATCTCAGTGCATGACCTGGGAACTCATTACAAGCTGGATTTAATGAAGCTGTAAACAAATCAACTTTCAATATGGTATTAATGTGACCCCTGTCTTGTTTTGATAATCAGAGCTTCTGAGTACCTGGCAGCAGAGTCTGGAGCCCATTAGTCTCACAACAGCAGCCAGTTCAATAGACTGGGCTGGTCTGAAGCCATGAAGCTGCTGATTCACACAGAACATACTGAGATGTTTATTCTCCCTCCCACTGCATTTATTGCAGACAGTAAACAGACACGCCCAAGAAGTTTGCTCACCCTGTTGAGAAGTCTAAGAGGATTTCCTGAAGCTGGCCTGTGGCAATCCCCAGGTCCTGCATGTGTTGGTAAGATGGGGTTTGCACTACAGCACAGAGTACTACAGCACAAGCAACACCCTGCAAGCATCTTTGCCAGTAATAAAAATACCCTGTAGCTTGTACCTGTATTGAATTATTATCCATGTCAGACGGGATGCCAAACAGCTTTGCACAAGGCTGATTTTAGTTTGGTGCAATTAGAATACATTGTAATTGCACATGTTTAGAATCTTAAGTGTTTTATGAAATATATATACCTATTAGATTTTTTTAATGTAGGTGGGTTTATGTGTGTGCACATAAATTTTTTTCAGTTTCTCCTATCTTTGCCATAGAAACAGTGGTCTCGAAATTATTTCATCTACTGATCCATAATGAAAACATTGTCCTAAAACTGGCTAAAGAGTTTTACCATCCCCCAAAAAGTATACACTACCAATTTCAGTCAATGTCAGCAGCTGCATGAAGTTTAGTTTCTTGCAGGTTCAAACTCTGCAACATCTAACTTGTATTTCATTTCTATGCTTATGATTCATTATTCCATAATTGCTCAGTTTTACTTCACGATCACCCCAAAAGTCACCTTGAGTGGCAGGCATTTTTCAGAGTGTCTTTGCTCATTCTGTTTTCCTCTAATGCAGAGAGACTCAGTAACAGGTCTGGAAGGCAGTCAGTCCACACCAGGAATGCAGGCTGGGCCTGCCAAGCTGCAGCCTTACCTTCCAAACCAGGCGTGTTTAGTATGCACAGAGCACAAGCTTTGTCTTTCCACAAGTCTGCTACTGATACTGCATAGCCCTACACACAGTTCAGAAAAAAAGAGTTGTAAGACTCTCCCTACATCTAGGCAGCCTTGCTCGTGGCTAGCTTAGCTTAAAACTAACTCAAAAGCTCTTAAAGGGGATGGTTTCCACTAGAGACCTTCCTATTCTTGCCTCCTTTCAGTCAGGTCATAGCAGGAGCTTCTTTTGGCTACCATAAGGCCAGCGTCTGACTCTCTTCACCTGATCAACTCCTGATAGAGAAACAAGGGTATAATGAGAACACAGCAAACTTCAAGGAAACAGATGTCTGATCCCACTGGCACATCCTCCTGACAATTATCATGATGATTTCCCCTCTCTTTACAGCTTTGTCCTTCCAACATATTCCACTCCTATACTTGCGGGAGCACCTGCTCCAGCTCAGCCCAGCCAAGTTCCAGAAAGAGTCAATATACCTGCCTTTCCTCTGTCATCCACAGGCCAAGAAAACTGCTCACTCCCACTCAAGCAAGTGGGAGGAATTACCAAAGAAGAGAGCAGAGCAGCCTAATAACTGAAATTACAAATATGATGGAACACATGGATCACATGCCCACATGGAGGCTGGCAGCACAGGAGCACTGACACCAACCACAAAAAGCCTCAAACCACCTTCTCATGAGCAGCCAAACATTCTGTGCACTTTGTGTGGCTGGGACCTGGCCCTGAGCCACACCTAACTGCAGCACCCACTGCTCTACAGGAGCAGAGCCCCAAAAAGCAGTGACAGAGAGCTCCTTTCCTTACCAAAATTCAGTGGTGTTGGTGAATACAGACCAGCTGATCAGAACTTTCAAGAGGATAATAAAAGGGGGAGGGATCTATTCAGTCATCACATGATCCTAAGGCACTGAAACCATTTAATCACTCTACAGCAAAGGAGGAATTGTTTATAGAATACAGATTTGCTCTGCAGCACTTCCCCATATCACCATGGTGCCACCTTCCTGGAGTGTGCAGCTCTAACTAAAACAGGATTTTATCTGGAAGGCTTAGAAACAGCCACATAGGAAAGAGGAACAGATGACACATGGATGAGTTGTTAAAGGAAAATAACATAGCTATAGTGCTTGGGAACATGGTATGAGCAACAGATTTCACGTGGGACACAACCTGATGGGAAACACTCAGGGAAGGTGCAAAGTTTTGCCCTGGTAGGATCATTGCAGATAATTCAGTTTCCTGAACAATTCTCTGTGTCAAATGGGTTTGGCTATCCAGGGACCAAGCACGCTCCAAAAACTGAGTGCTGCCTAGAAACCAGGGATCACAGCAAAGACCCAATCCAGTGAAAACCTCAAATCAAGTGCAGATAGCCAGGGCTGGATTCCAACTCTCTCACTCTACAAAGAAGACTGTTCTAAGAGACTTTTAATCAGACATACTTTGGACAGTGTCTGATCACACTGTCATATTAAGTCCTAATGTTAATAAATGTTTGGCCCCACAAATCCAGTCAGTCACTGAATTTTAACACATGTAGGTATTTTCTATCTGTAGAAGACAGAACAGCTCAGAAAAAAAGTAATTTGTTATTTTAGTGTTCAAAATATTCAAGCAAATACAAGATGATAGGTAAGAAAACTTCTATCACCTTCTGCCTAAATGAAAATCCAGTCTCTGATGCACTTACTTTTATGATTTCCTGAAGTTCTTCCCCAAGGAATCCTTGTGGTCATAGTTTAAATTTCACAGTCTCCCTCCCATGTTCACATAAGGTTTTGAGAAATTTAAACCTAATATGTCAAAACCAGTAATGAAGCAGTCATGTTAACTATAAAGATTTTGTATTACACTGGGCTAGGAGATGGGACCATCCCTGAAGTGTTCAAGGTCAAGTAGGATGAGGTTTTGATCAATCTGGTCTAGTGGAAAGTGTCCCTGCCTGTGGCAGGGGGGTTGGAAATAGGTGATCTTTAAGGTCTCTTCCAACCCAAAATATTCTATGATTCTATGATCATACAACTGCTTTGACACCAGCCTTAATAATAATCCTAATCCCAGGAATGAGCTAAATTTCTGAGACACTGGCTAAGCCTGTTCTTCACAGTTTCAGTATTTCAACAATTCTCAAATCTTGTTTTTACAGAAAACACAGATCTTGAGACCGATCGTCCATTTACCCGTTTTTCCTTGGGGAGCGTTTCTGGAAGAAGGAGGAAGATGAAAATTAAATCAGCCACAGAAAACACGAGTGCTGACAATGCTGAACGAAGGTAGAAGACTTCTCCTTTCTCTGTCTGCATGGCGAGGTAAGCACCCATCATGGGGCCCAGGGTGAAGCCCAGGGAGAAAGCAACACCAATCATGGCCTGCAGGGATGAAGTGAACACAGACAGAGAATTTTAGACACCAGTTTCTTCAGGTTCTGTAATGATTTGGAACCAGGTACAGAACCCAATCACCCTGAGGATGCAAGGAGTGGACAGCAAAGAGCATGAAGTGTGAAAAGCCTGCTGTTTCCAAATACCCAATTTTGTTTTTTGTCCAGTCAGGGAAGTGGCAGGAACAGGAAGTGGCCCATCACTGTTTGGGAATAGCTTCAGTCAGATGCTGTTCACCTCCCAGAAAGCAGAATGAACATGCCTACTTTGCTTTGGAATAGAGAAGAATATAAGCCATGTGGATGTGAGCCATGCTGCACTAAGTGACTTACTCTAAGGCCCTAAAAATAGGCCCCGACCCATTTTATTCACCAGTGCTGTAAGGCTACCTCTCTTCACAAATAAAAATGCATTTTGGCTCGCCAGGATTATAATAATTTGCTTGGAAGACTCATTAGCTATCACTGTGAAATCTAAAGCCTTCCCCTCCCAAGAAGCAGCTGTCCTCCGTAGTGGCTTATAACAATCTGGTAAGAGAAGTCTGGGCCTCTAATGTTTTCATAGGATGAAAGATAGAACTGGTAATTCACAGGCCAAGTTCAGCCTGCAGGTGTTTCCATCTGGCCACTGCCTTCTGGAACTGGATAGGGCAGTTGCTTATACTTCTCAGTCAGCCAAATGTCACATCCTTTACCCACTGAGCTCAGATCCTGAAGCCAGCACAATGTGCAAGGAAGCCAGGAGCACACTGCTGTGCTGCTGTGCTTCCACAGCTTGGGCAGGTGAGGAAAAGTTGTTGCCCTTTAATTGGCTTCCAGCTGCCAAAATTGGACCATAAAATCTTTTGATTTCTAAGCTATTATAACCAGAATTAAAGTTACCAGAAGGATTAACAGTTCTACTACTGAAACAAGATAGTTTTCCCATCTCTAGAGCATCTGTGTTTCACTTGTAGGTGAAGATCACTGGCAAAAGTCCAAGAAGTCCCAGAAATACGATCTGGCACCTTTCCAGAAGCAAGGTAGAATGTAAAGTCGTGTTTTCACTTGATTAGTGAATACACTGAGGAAGACATACTGAGCATCCAAAATCAATTAAACTAAACATGTGCCCCACAAGTGTAACTCACCATGCCCTTGCTCCGTGCTTTTGGAGATGGCAAGTCAGCAATTATAGCTGTGGACAGGCTGACATTCCCTTTGCTTATTCCCCCTATGATCCTGGAGAGAAGAAAAACGCCAAAAGTCCGAGAGGCAGCCCAGAGTGAGTATGATGCTATCAAACCCATCTGCAGAAGCAAGAAAGGGTTCTTTATAAAGCAATGCAAAATGCTCATTTCCCAGCTAAATATTTACATTTTTTGTTTGTTTTCAATGGCTGCTCCAAACCCCATGTAACAGAAATGACTGAATAGACTGACACTGCACTATGTCTTGAACAGCAATATAAGTAGAAACAAGTCCATACAAACTAATAATAATTAATAACTAATAATTGTGATATTTCTAACGAAATTAGAAGAGAAAAATTCTGTGGAAGCTAAACCAGTCCTGGGTACAAAACATTTTTGTACATTCCACTCCATTTGTTTCCAAATTCAAGAGAAATCTGAGTTCAAAATAAGGAGAATATTCATGTTTATAAGAAATGTATCTTGCAGTGATATATAGAACTTCCTAACAAACAATTTCCAGGCTTTGTGGAACAGGTCATGAAGTGATCAACCCTCATTAATCACTTGATGAGCTAAAATACATAGGAATTAAGTCTAACATTTTTCAACAGAGCATCTGAAGTCATTCTCCCATACACAGGGGAAAGGGATTTTGGAAAATGACAGAAGCAGATAAGTATTTTGGTGTCTTCTATGGGAAGTTCAGTTTAAGCACTCACACTTGGAAGTGTGGCCAAGAGACTTGGCAAGAAAGAGTCAACAACCAGCAGATCTAGAAAAGTCAATTCTAGAGCTGAACTGTGACTGTCACAATTCAGTTTCTGTGCTAAGCACAAGCTCATGGTGCCTTCCACTGCATATTGAGATGCCATGACTAAGATCAGCATGTGACACATACCACTGTCATCAGGATGACAGGTCTTCTGCCCCAGTGGTCTGACACAGCACCGGTGAGTGGAGAGGAGAAAAACTGCAGGAGGGAAAAGATCGAGCCAATCAGACCTAAAAAAAAAAAGATAAAAAGATATGGATCATTAGGCTTGCTGCCTTCATCTTAAATACAAAGACAGCCAAGCTGTTTGAGATTTATCACACTATGTGAGATAAAAACTTGAAATTAAATGCAGAACAGCAGCTATGAACAATAGCTTTGTCTCTGAAGCCATGCCACTCTCAGAACATCAACCTTGCATTGTTACTTAACTAAGGCAGCAAATACAGACAGACCAGATGCACAGACAGATCAGAGTAACAGGCATAAACTGGATGACTTTCTGGTTATTTCACTGGTGAGAAAGGGTTTGAAACTCACTGGTTATTATGGAATGATGATTCTCCAATGTTTCCCTGCTGACTACATACATTTTCTGTTCTTAAAGCAGAGATCACACAGTCTTCAACAGTCACAGTTCTTTTAAGACTTTTTTGATTGTTTGAACCTGATTCTGTCACACTTAATTAGTTTTTCTTTCCTTTTTATCATGGAAAGAAAGACTTAAGCACTGCTGTTAGTGAGGCACCCTAAGAGGTAGGAGTGATTCCAACAGATGCCAAGAATCTTTTGAAATCTGCCTCCAGCTTCTGTGATCTTTAATTCCTCTTTTCTCTTGCCATTTCTAGCTTCACAGACTTATTAATTTGCACTACACTTTCAACAAGGAGGCAAAAGATGCTTTGCTGTCACAGCTTTTTCTCTAAAGGAAAAACTGGGTTATATGTTCCAGATCATTCAGCTATCAAAGCTTTAAAAGGCAGAGCTGAGACAGGCCAGAAGTTCTGCTCCCATCAACTTTGAGGGAGGCAGAATATTGGTACTGAACACCTTGTTGAGAAGAGCTGCTTGTGGTAAGTTAAAGCTCAAAAAAACTGTAAAAAATCTTACAGAATTTTACACTGGCAGTTTATGACACACAGTTCCCTTCATTGTGTTTCTAGCACTGTAAAAACACCCTTTCATGCCAAATATTTCCAAACCAGCATGCAGCAAAAACAGGGCTGGACCACAGTGGGGAAGGAACTGGGAGCTGAGGGTGACCACAGCACTGGCAGTGCCCTCACCAGCCTGGGTGCCCCGCAACCTGATGGGCAGGGCAGAGGAGGTGCTGCCAATAGGGCCCACTGACAGTCCCACACAAGGAAAGGGTTATTCAACACACCCTTCCAGGGAGTCCAGTCTGGAGCAGCAGGAGTCAGGGACAGAGAAAGGAGTGGAAACAACACTGTGATATAGGCTGGGAGACAAGACACCTCCAATGTAGGTCTGAGGCCCATCCAAAGGATGGAGACAGAGACAGCCCTGGAGACAAAGTCTGAAATACATCTCCTGAATCACTGGGTGATGTGTGGGTGATGACTGGTCACAGCAGCTAAGCATTGGTGCCCTCAGGGCCCTGACATGGGCAGAGAAGTTTCTGCCTTGAAGAGCTTGCAGTCTAACCAAAAATGAAAAATATGGCTGGCACTGGGAGAAACAAGAAGACGATCTTGCAAGCACCTTCCCAATCCTATGCTCCTTGTGGCAAACGAGGGCAGTGAAGGAATACAGGCTGCAGGAAGGCTGCAGCAACCTCTGCCTAACATCACAACTATAATGAAACTTTCCACACAGCACTCCCAAGGGTACAGGACACAGCAGGTAAAAGGAAAAGCAACAAGTTGGACTTGACTGGGAGTTCCCACCCCTTGTCTAAACAATCTGAGATGGTGAGAAGTTGAAAGTAGGAAGCTTCTGGTCAAGCCAGAAGTGGAGACAGAAAGCAGCTTCTGAGGGATTAAAGAAAACTGTTTCCTAGCATTCAAAGCCAGTAATTTGACTAAAAAACGAGCAGAGAAAGAAAAACATGCCTGCAGGGATATGGTGGGAAAGAGGAAAATGGCTTATAAACTTCCTAATGCCTGTTATACCAAATTTAACTACTTTAAATAGTAGCAACACATTCACATATATTCTAATTAAGTATTCTGCTTCATTTAGTTTATTTTAATAGGCTTTTGCTTATCTTGGGGGAAGCCTCAGCAGGTAGAGAGAGCCTAAGTAAAATTAACCCAGACAACTTCATATCTTCATACTCTGAAATCACAGTTTTGTCACAACTGTCTAGATGGCAAGAAGTCAGAAGTCTCTGATGTGAAACACAACATATTTCCCTCGCTGTTCCTGCTGGAGCTCACCCACACCAGTGTCCTAGTGACAGAAAATGCTTATGGGTCCTGCAAGCCAGCAGCTCTGCTGCTTTTAATAAGACTAATGAGATTTAGAAGCAGGGCTGCCCTATACCCACCCAAGGGGCAAGCAAGGCTGGAACTCACAAGTTTGTGTTTCTAGTGCTTCCTACTGATTGATCTCTGATCATGTGCAGATCAATTGTGAAAGGAGAGTAATTTCTGTGACTGCCAGGGCCCAGCACAGCAGGCTCCTGACCCTCAGATGGCAGTCAAACAAGGATTAGCAGGCCTGTATTTTTGTAACAATCTGTAGAACAAATTGAGTAAGATCATAGGATAATTCAGGTTAAAAAGGAGCTCTGGAGATCACCTACTCCAACCACCTGCTCATAGGGTCAGCTGTGAGTCAGAGCAGATTGTTCAGGGCCTTACTCAATCAGGGCTTGACAATCTCTGAGGATGGACACTGCTCTGGGCAGCCTGTTCCACTGATCATCCTCACTGGAAAAATGTTTCTCCCTATTTCCTGTCTGAACCTCCCCTGCTTCTACTTATACTTGTTAGCTCTCCTTCTCCCACACACCTCAGTGAAGATCCTAGCTCTCCATAACCTCCCCACAAGTGCTGGAAAGCTGCCATTCACTGCAGACCAGCCAAGGGCCACAGACTGTCCATCTTCAGAGCCCTCCATGGAACTCACCACAGTGTACAGACACCCTTCCTTGTACTGGGGACCAAAACTGAATGTAACAATTCAGATATGGTCTATCAAGTACTGAGCAGAGAAAGATGATCACCTCCCTTAATCCACTGATTCTGACTCATTTCATGTACCCCAGGAGCAGCTGGCACCTTTGCTGCCAGAGCTGGCTCATGCTCAGCTTGCTGCTCACCAGGACCCCCAGGGCCACAAGTGAGTGTCCAGTCTGTATCATTGCAAGGACTACTTTTTCCACAGGCAGGACTTAAAATTTATCCTTACTGTATTTCACAAGGTTCTTGTTATCCCATTTCTCCTGCCTGTCTAGGCATCTCCAAATGACAAAAACTTGGGGCAGACAAGAGTTGGGGCTGTCCAACTGTTTATTGCTGTCAGTGTGGCAAAAACAAAGTCATTTGTAGTCTACTCTAAGAGACATTTTCTGTGTTACTTAAATGTAGAACTAATAACAGGTAAGCATCTTTTTTTGTATTTCTTGTCATTCTTCACATCAACATTGCAAATAACTTGGAAAGAACACTGCTTTTTGGCTGTTAGCTTGTTTGTTCAGTTTACCTACCTCCAAACAAGACACTGTTGTATTTCCGCTCTGGAGGTATCCCAGCCATCACTGCAAACCAGTCAACCCCACGTTGCAATGACAAATAGAATCCATCCTGAAAAATAGAAAACAGGGAAACAGAAGCAAGAAGGCAGTTTTATCTTCAAAGACAGCATCAGAGCTCAGTGAACTAGAGACAGTGTTAGATAATTCCTTCCCTCTTCCTCCCCATGAGGGAAAATTTCCTCACTGATCATAGGCAAAAATAGCTTAAATTGTGAATGTTAACAGACAGCAGATAGTATACATTTAGGTGGAGGAATATCTGAATTTGAACTTTCTCAAGCCTTCAGGCCCATTACTTGCTAAATCCTGAATTAAACAGGCATGCCCTGAATCTTTCAATTAAAAAGGCAACATGAGACACACTCTGCCCTGCTGCACATAGACTGTTTAGTCTGGGAAAACCAGAAGCTTGCAGATGCAGAAGGAAAAGGTGGTGCATAAAAAAGAATGATTCCCAAAAATAGGAGGAGGACTTTAAAAAAAGAAGGTCTGGAAAAGAAGGTGGAGATCTTGCCTATTGGAAATATACTGGAAGTGGGGGAAGACCCTGGAGATCAGAACCCATGGTTTGGGTCAGAGTTATGGTTGTAAGAAGGACAAAGCCTACAGCTGTAAGCTGAAGTGGTATTAGAAAGGGGCTGAGAGACAGAGGTGTGGGCTGCAAAAACAATTCTTCCACAACAACTTGTTCATCTTGACCAGTAATGCCATTAACATCTGAGAAGGGTAACAGTCAGCAACTGCACAGCCAGGATCCAACAGAACCTTCTGCTCTGTTCCTGGAGCAGCAGCCAGCTCCCTGCTAGGAATGGAAGTTGAGATGGAACACTCGGGGAGGGAGCAAGTGACCTTGTGAAATTCTCAGGTGGGATAAAAGCTCTCATCTCTTTAGTTCTTCAGTAAACCCCAGCACACAGATCCATTATGAACTGCCTCACCAGTGACAAGTGACAAGTGTAAGACACAAAAACATTAGTAACTACAAGGACAAGTCCCTAAGAAATACTTGATTTTTTTTCAAATCAAATCTCTCATTTTAAAAACAAAGGTGAAGAGTCTTATGCATGTTGACAAATTCAGTCCATGAACCATTTATATGTGCCAGGTAATTATTAATCTTCCTACAGCTGTTTGGTTTGCCCCAAGGCAGGTGATTTTCCTTCCATTCCTTCCTCAAGATCTTAACACTTTCTGTGGGCTGACTTTCTTATTACTTACCTCAGTCTGGCTGTAATAATCAAGGATGGAAGGAAAGAGTGGCAAGATGAGAGCAAATCCCAACAAGTCGATGAAGAGTGCCAGGAAGACAATTGTAATAACACGATTATAGTTCTGTTCCTGCTTGTCATTGGTGGAGCTGCTGCTGGTTCCTCTCTCTCGCAGGGCCATGTTCCCAGTGCTCTGCTTCTAAAAAAAATTGCCTTTATATCCAGTCAACAGGAAGCTTTTTGCAGGCCTTTCATAAGAGTATCTTGCTGATTCATTCCTACTTTCTCAAGGCTTTACAGAAGTAAGTTCTGGCTATATTAATCTACCTGGGAACAAGAGCCTCAACTCTCTAGTCTAGGTTATCAACTCAGCACCAAATTTTCTCCCATCAAGAACACGCTACAAAGGCAATAAAACAACTAACTCTATTATAGGAGCACCTCAAATGGAACTAAGGAGCATTTGAAGTTTGTCAGTGTGTGAACGACATTAATACGACCTTCCTACAGGTTTCAACTCAGCATTACAGTAAAACGGGTATGAAAGGGCACTCTATTCCAAATATTCACATCCACATAAGAATTGATTTATGCTTTCAGTGTATATTAGAAATGACCAAAACAACAATTATGAAAGAGAAAAGAAAGATGCAGACTTCCTAACTATTGCATGAATGCTGTCTTCAAGATAAACCCCTGACAGCAACACAAGAAACAACCGAAGAAAACTTTAAAACTCCATCTTTTATTTCTTTCTTCAGGTGATAGCTACTGACCTGGGGCATCAAATGATTAAAGCAGCGTTCTTATTTTGTCAGAAATACCAGAACTATCAACTATCTTGGATAATACTCCAAAACTATCATAAAGCCCTAAGCAAGGATGCAGGCCATATATAGTTCAGTCTTTAACAAATAAAGGAGTTGGTCTCAATCCCAAAAACAAACTAATTTTCAACATAAATCAAAATCAATGAGTAATATATAAACCATGGAACTACAAACTTCAGAATTATAAAACATACATGATATCTCAGTCATAAAAGAATAAAATTTAGTCCCTTCTACTGCAAAAGTCCCTGAAAGTTTGTTGCACTAAAAGAGAAAAGGAGACAGAATTTCATCCAAGGCAAATTAGTACAAAAAACATTCACTGACTTCGATAAGTCAGCAATGAATTTTATTCCAGACCAGATGTACCATATTATATACACAAGACACTTGTGCATAGAAAATGGTACTACACTAATTGAAGGCTGTAACACTTTGTCATGCTCAGCAATAAATATTATTGTGACATTTCTTTACCTGAGAAGTCAGTTTATTAGCACTGAAGCATTATTAAAGTTCAATTGCTATGAGATAAATAAACACAGAATGGGGGCCACCTGCAATCCATTTACTAATCTCTTGGCATAATGCTCTTAACCAAACTGGTCTGATTTAGCAGATTTATGTTCAAGATCCTTTTATTTAAAATGGCAAATCAACACTGCTACAAATATTCAGCATTATTTGCTTACCCAAATGATAAAAGAGCACATGGAGCCAAAATAACCATTCTTTTAAGCAAATACTCTCTGGCCCTTGGTCAATCCAGCCAATGGTTGAGGGATGGGTTCACTAAAGCAGATTCTATCTTGTCTTTCCACACAATTTGTTTAGT